TACACCTTAGTCCACACGTCTTTCACGATTGACAACACCACACTATATTCATATTATTATAGTATTACATACGTTCCATTTTATCATCTACCCCCTAGGCCCCTACCTTCCACTTTGGTAGTCCCATCTCCAAAATGAGTACAATTTTCTAATGTGCTAGTGATTTGGCTGTTTATCTGCTGCCACTGCGGCTGTTTACCTGCTGTCCGCCGTATGCCTATCTGTAATAGACTTGCACTAGATGTTGTTTCGTTTCTGAAATGGAATGGAACAGGGGCGCAGCCCTTTCCCTCTAAAAAAAATTTGGCATTGGCAGGGTACCCGTTTAACCTGGACTTCGACTTCGGTGCCCTCAACCAATTCCAGAGCTTCTTCATCAACAACATGCATCGAGAGCAACTACGGCGTGCACTCAACACTAGTAGAAAAGGAGGCAATGGTCCAGGCCGGTCCAGCCTATTAGTCCCGGTTCAATCCAGAACCGGGACCAATGGGGGCATTGGACCCGGTTCTTAAGCCCCGGGGGCCGGCCGGGCCACGTGGGCCATTGGTCCCGATTCGTCTGGACCTTTTGGTCCCGGTTGGCGGGACGAACCGGGACCAATGTGCCTTGCTCCTGGCCCACCACCATTGGTTCCGGTTGGGAGGATGAACCGGGACCAAAGGCTTCCCTTTAGTCCCGGTTCATGCCACGAACCGGGACCAATTAATTGCCTATATATACCCCGCGAGCAGAGCACTCTCACTGCTCTGTTTTTCGTGGCCGGCGAGGAGAGAGCTTTGTGTTACTCTAGCTCACCTCCTATGCACACGGATTGTTCGATGGAATGCCCGAGCCACACTACTTAAGCTTTCTCCTCTTCAAGCTCCACCTCCAAACTCCATTTTTCTCAATATTTGTCTAGGTTTAGCGGTCCGTCACGTCCCGTCCCTGTCTTCACCGCCGTCGACCGCCCGCGTCGCCGGCACCACCGTGGTGAGCCTCTTGTTCTTATCTTCTTTCTGAAAGGAAAAAACTCTTACTTGTATGTTTATATAGATACTTGTATAATTTTCTTACTTTTATTATTGCATCTTATATAGTGCGATGGTTTTGGTATCCGCCCCCGTCAGCCCTCGTCCTGTCTATGATTCAGATGTGGTATATATTATCTTTTCATAACTATTGGTTCATTTATTGTTTATGACAATTATGCCGACCAACGTGACATAGATTTTATTTATCTAGGAGGTTGTTGAACCGGAAATTCCAACCGACCCTATTGTCGAGAGGTTAAATTTAGTTGAAGAAGAAAACAATTTGTTGAAGGAAAAAATTAGAAAAATTGAGGAGGAGAAGATGATATTGGAGTTGCATGTTGCGGATGTCGTCGATGATCACAAGATCAAGATGGATGCAATGCGCTTGAAGATTAGAAAGATTAGAAAATATGCCATTCATACCGAGGCTTGGTATCATTATGCCGTTGGATCAGTTGTTACATTGATTGCGATTATGATCGCATTTGTTTTCGCATTGAAATGTTTTACATAGTTTCAGTGTATGGTTTAATTAATTTAGATGCTCTGCAGAGCTTTATGTTGTTAGATGAGAACTATTTATGTACTTTGGTTTTAATGTGATGATGAACTTCTATTAATTTGGTCACTTAATTATATAATGCACGCAGATGAACCGGCAATGGATGTACGGTTCAAGACACACCTCTGAGTACATTAAGGGCGTGCATGATTTTCTCGAAGTGGCTGAGGCAAACAAGCAGAATGGTTTTATGTGTTGTCCATGCCCTGTATGTGGGAATACGAAGTCTTACTCTGACCAGAAAATCCTCCACACCCACCTGCTTTACAAGGGTTTCATGCCACACTATAATGTTTGGACGAGGCACGGAGAAATAGGGGTTATGATGGAAGATGGCGAAGAAGAAGAGTACGATGACAACTATGTGCCCCCTGAATATGGTGATGCTCCTGAAGATTAAGAGGAACCAGACGATGTGCACGATGATGCTGCAACGGGCGAAGCTGCTGAAGATCAAGAGGAACCAGACGATGTGCCCGATGATGATGATCTCCGCCGGGTCATTGTCGATGCAAGGACGCAATGCGAAAGTCAAAAGGAGAAGCTGAAGTTCGATCGCATGCTAGAGGACCACAAAAAAGGGTTGTACCCCAATTGCGAAGATGGCAACACAAAGCTGGGTACCGTACTGGAATTGCTGCAGTGGAAGGCAGAGAATGCTGTGCCTGACAAAGGATTTGAGAAGCTACTTAAAATATTGAAGAAGAAGCTTACAAAGGATAATGAATTGCCCGACAGTACATACGCAGCAAAGAAGGTCGTATGCCCTCTAGGATTGGAGGTGCAGAAGATACATGCATGCCCTAATGACTGCATCCTCTACCGCGGTGCGTACAAGGATCTGAACGCATGCCCGGTATGCGGTGCATTACGGTATAAGATCAGACGAGATGACCCTGGTGATGTTGACGGCGAGCCCCCCAGGAAGAGGGTTCCTGCGAAGGTGATGTGGTATGCTCCTATAATACCACGGTTGAAACGTCTGTTCAGAAAAGGAGAGCATGCCAAGTTGATGCGATGGCACAGTGAGGACCGTAAGAAAGACGGGAAGTTGAGAGCACCCGCTGACGGGTCGCAGTGGAGAAAAATCGAGAGAAAGTACTGGGATGAGTTTGCAAGTGAGCCAAGGAACGTATGGTTTTCTTTAAGCGCGGATGGCATTAATCCTTTCGGGGAGCAGAGCAGCAATCACAGCACCTGGCCCGTCACTCTATGTATGTATAACCTTCCTCCTTGGATGTGCATGAAGCGGAAGTTCATTATGATACCAGTTCTCATCCAAGGCCCTAAGCAACCCGGCAATGACATTGATGTGTACCTAAGGCCATTAGTTGAAGAACTTTTAGAGCTGTGGAATGGAAACGGTGTACGTACGTGGGATGAGCACAAACAGGAGGAATTTAACCTAAAGGCGTTGCTGTTCGTGACCATCAACGATTGGCCCGCTCTCAGTAACCTTTCAGGACAGACAAACAAGGGATACCACGCATGCACGCACTGTTTACTTGACACCGATAGTATATACCTGGCAAGTTGCAGGAAGAATGTGTACCTGGGCCATCATCGATTTCTTCCGACCAACCATCAATGTCGAAAGAAAGGCAAGCATTTCAAAGGCGAGGCAGATCACCGGAAGAAGCCCGCCATGCGTACCGGTGATCACGTACTTGCTATGGTCAATGATTTACACGTAATCTTTGGAAAGGGTCCCGGCGGACTAGCTGTTCCGAGTGACGCTGGGGGACACGCACCCATGTGGAAGAAGAAATCTATATTTTGGGACCTACCCTACTGGAAAGACCTAGAGGTCCGCTCTTCGATCGACGTGATGCACGTGACGAAGAACCTTTGCGTGAACCTGTTAGGCTTCTTGGGCGTGTATGGGAAGACAAAAGATACAGCTGAGGCACGGGAGGACCTGCAACGTTTGCACGAAAAAGACGGCATGCCTCCAAAGCAGTATGAAGGTCCTGCCAGCTATGCTCTTACCAAAGAAGAGAAGAAAATCTTCTTTCAATGTCTGCTTAGTATGAAGGTCCCGACTGGCTTCTCGTCGAATATAAAAGGAATAATAAATATGGCAGAGAAAAAGTTTCAGAACCTAAAGTCTCATGACTGCCACGTGATTATGACGCAACTGCTTTCGGTTGCATTGAGGGGGCTTCTACCGGAAAAAACCTAATTAAATTAACCCCCCAAAACCCCCAACCTCCCCTCCTTTCAAAAAAAAACACAAAAACCCCAGCAACTGGAATGCTGACGCGTGGATGCATTTTGGTCCCGCTTGGTGCCACCAACCGGGACCAAAGGCCCCCTGACTGGGGTGGGCGCACAGAGCCACGTGGAGGCACATTGGTCCCGGTTCTGGATTGAACTGGGATTAATGGGTGGAGGTATTAGTAACGACCCACTAGTCCCGGTTCATGAACCGGGACTAAAGACCCTTACGAACCGGGACTAATGGGTGGGTTTCTACTAGTGCAAGGCAGTTTGAGGTGGCCGTCCTCGACTGGTTCGCCCGCCTCTGGGACCTCCAGCAGGGCGAGTATTGGGGATACGTCACCAGCTGCGGCACCAAAGGGAACCTACACGGCCTACTAGTTGGGTCAGTATATCTATTTATGTGCATGCGGCTTGTTAATTTGCAAGGCATGAATTTCATGTGTATTTTGGATTCATTTCGACAAGCATCTGTACATATACAGTTTGTTAGGTTTAATCTTGATTCATGTATCTGCATATTTAGTTCGCTTTTGTTATGCATGTTGCATAGGTTAGAGAGTAGCTAGTCCGGTGAAGTTTCAGCGGAGGCATGCGGAGACGGCGAGATGCCGGGCTGCCGTGCGATACAGCGAGCATGGCGAGATGCCGACGGCGGCGCGAGGCTGCTATGCTGCCTGAGGTGGCAGAGCCGTGTGATGCGGCAAGAGAGCCAAGTGATTTGGTTAGTTTGTTAGCTGCATGTAACTAGCTAGTTATGTGGGCGTGCTGGCCACAGCCGTTGAGAGAATGCTACGCACAAGCTGGGCATGGGCATGCATGTAGGTAGTGCGTTAGTGCATGGAGGTCATGCTGTTAGTGGAGAAATGTGGCCGCTGGATGCGTGCGTCTCTGACCCTATATAAGAGATGTAAACCGTGTTGTTTCTTTGAGCCAAGAGAATAGAAAGAGAAGAAAAGGCCGGCAGTGTGAGGCTCCGGCCACCAAATTTCTTGCGCCTCCATTGTTGTATATGTGACCTGTGAGAGGCAGCCACCGAGGTAGAAGAAGAAGAAGCGGCGCTGCGAGAAGCGGCGCCAACACAGTTATTTCCCTCGATTTTAAACATGAAACTAACATTTGCAGGAGGCAGCTTTTTCGTGATGGGATTATATACGCATCTCGTGAGTCGCACTACTCAATCTTCAAGGCGGCTAGGATGTACGGAGTCAAGTGCGTCAAGATTGATACTCTTGTTTCCGGAGAGATGAACTGCACAGATTTTAAGTCCAAGCTGTTGAAGAACAGCGGGAGATCTGCGATTGTCAATGTGAATATAGGTTACCATCTTGCTTTTACATTTTCATTCAAATGGTTAACAATGGCTTTGTTTAAGTGTCTCTTCAAGGTTCATGTTGACACACTTTTGTTTGCTTTTGTTTCTTGTAGGTACGACCGTGAAGGGAGCCATCGATGATCTTGACAGGATCATAAGAACACTTGAAAAATGTGGGTTCCGAGATCGATTCTACATCCATTGCGATGGAGCTCTGGCTGGCCTTATGATGCCATTTGTCAAACAAGTGGGTCATGTTGACTTTTATGCAGTATGGGATATGTAATTGCCATATATGTCATAATAAATTTAAATTTAATGACCTAACTAACTTACTTTTACTTATTTTCATCTAGGCACCAAAGGTGACGTTCACGAAACCTATCGGAAGCGTTAGCATCTCGGGCCACAAGTTAATGGGATGTCCAGTGCCATGTGGTGTGGTAATAACCAGGCTCGAGCATGTCAAAGTGCTCTCCACTGACATTGAGTACATATCATCTAGAGATGCAACGATCATGGGGAGCCGCAACGGGCACGCACCCTTGTTCTTGTGGTACAACCTGAACAAGAAGGGTTACAGAGGCATCCGCAAAGAAGTCGAGAAGTGCATGAGAAATGCTCATCACCTTGTGAGCCGTCTTAGGGAGAAGGGGGTGAGTGCATACCTAAACGATCTGAGCAATATGGTGGTGTTCGAGAGGCCACAGAATGAGGCATTTGTCCACAAGTGGCAGCTCGCCTGCGAGGGGAGCATTGCACACGTGGTGGTAATGCCAAGTGTGAGTGTGGAGAAGCTCGACATCTTCGTCGAAGAGCTTGCTGTCGGAAGAAGGATGTGGCATGAAGGTGGAGGGTTTAGAGTGTCGTGTGTTGCAGAGGACATCGGGGAAGATAATTGCCTATGTGGCGTGCATGCCAAGAAGTCAATAGCTGCATAAGATCGTTGGAGGATTGGTGACTGATATTTTATAAAACTTGAATTTTTCAAGGGCACACATGATTTATCTGGCTTTCATAATTTGGACCACAATGCTTGTTGTTATCCTTTTTGTTTCTTTTGTTACATTGTCTATGATAGTGACATGTGTTTAATTGTACACTGATTAATTCATTGATTTGGTGTTTTCTCTTGTGCGTAATCTGGAATTATTTTATTTGCATCGTGCTTCCTCCAAAGTAACCGCACGAGATAGTAAGTTTTTCAAATGCAAAGGTTTGCAGCTAGAACCAAGTTTTCCTTGGTTAAGAAACCAAGGGAGGTGGGGGCCTCGCATCTTCAAGAGTGCTATTTCTTCGTCATCGTCTAGTGATCATCGTATTTTTTGAGAATAAATTTACTCTCATTCTTTTGGTGGTGCGATGAGGTTAGAGAGTTTTCAGTCCTCGTAGATCCGATTATTCAGATCTGATGAGTTTTGGTTGGCGTGTCAAGCCTTTTTTGTTGGTTTAGTTCTATGTGAAGTTGAAATCTTTCAACATCCAACACTTCTAGGAGATTATCCCCGGCCCAAGTACGTTCATCGATCAAGGTTTCCCACCTTTTGGATGGGCGACTCACGGCGCTTTCAAAAATGATTATTGGTAATGTTCGTGCGGGTGAAAGAGTGACAATATTATTGCTCCAGTCCAATTGCAGCCTGTTTACCAAAGTCTTTGGAGTATTTCTTCAAATAGAGATTGATGCAGCGTAGAAGGTGTTTCCAAGAGATTTCATTGTAATTTTTAGTCATAGGAGTTACTTTGTATTTTCTTGAATCTTAGATCCAAATCAGTGTACATGTAATTGTTATGAGTATGAATAAAATTACATGTGTTTCTCAAAAAAAAAAGTTATCAAACCGTGAATCAATTTTTTTAGTAGTTCAACGATTAGCCCCACAACACAATTAAGACCCTCCTGGAGTCCGCAATTGAACAATCTTATCAAGTTGTGGCCATTTGGAGCAACTTTTATCAAGTGTAAAAATTTGGCCATTTCACTTGTACAATTAGGCCACAAGAGCTTCGGAATTTCAATTATAAGTGGCTTGTTGTCTCTTAAAAATCTGAAGAGAAGTGCTTAACACAAGAGTTGCTTCTCTGCAATTTTGATTCATTCTTTGCATAAACTGTAACTTATCTCTGCTCATGTTTATGCAATGGGAGTATAAATGAAAAATTGTTGTTGTTTGTTAACTAACAGAAAAACTGCTACTTATATCAGTAGTAAAACTGCTACTGTTTGTTAACTGTTGTTTGTTAAGTGGAAAACTGATGTTTATCTCTTGCATTCAGTATGTATACAATGCTCCTGTTCGTATTGTTAACTGACTGAAAAAATGCTATTTGTATTTTCTTTAATAATGCACTTCTGCTTCAGTACATGATTGTCTTTTCTAAAAAATACATAACCTGATACGCAGCAGCCTGTACAAATCGCCCCAACACGGCCCGGGCAGGCCCATTGGCTGCGCTGCGCAAAGTAAAACGTAAGAATAATTCATGAATTTTTTTTTGAAATTCAGAACACTTTTAAAATTTTGGTAAAACCCGAACAATTTTTAGGAATATCAAAACATTTTTGGGAAAAGAGCAACAAAATTTAAAACACAAAACATTTTTCGAAATTACGAATATTTATAGAAAACGTGAATATTTTCTGAAACAGAAGCAAAACTCAAAACACGCTCATTTTCCAAATTATGAAAAACTTTTTTAATGTGCAAAGATTTTTTGAAATTCCACGAACTTTTTGGATTTGCATATTTTTAGCAAAACATGAACATTTTTTTAATGTGCAAAACTTTTTCAAAATGGTAACATTTTCTGAATTCCTGCACGTTTTTTGAATTTGTGAAAAAACTAAAAGACGAATATTTTCTGAAATTTTGAATTATAAACATTTTTTAATAAGCAATCATTTTATGGAAAGAAGCGAACAATTATTTAAAGTCCGATTTTTTTCTTATAGTCGAACTTTTTCGAAAAAGAAACTGACATATTTTGAAATCCGATCTTTATGGAATATTTTTTGAAAATCTGATCAAATTAGCAGAACTGCATAAACTAAAATAAAAATCAACATATAAATATGTAATAAAATAAAAATAGAAAAAGCAACATATAAGAGCGAACGGAAAAAAGGAAACAAAAAGAAAAAAGAAAAAAAGAGCGAAGGAAAAGGAAACTGGAAAAAGGGCAAATGAAACAGAAACAGAAAAATAACGGTAGGGCCGGCCCAACAGGCGCCCGACGAGAGGGACGCCGTGGCTTAGTTGGGCCAACGCTTAAGCATTTTTCTTTGTTTTCCATTATTTCGTTTTACTTTCCTTTTTTCGTTATATTTCATTTTCCCACTTTTGAAACTCTATTCTTAGTTTTGAAACTTAAAAAATTGAAATATTATATGGAATACCAAAAAATGTTCCTTTTTCAAATATTGTCTATAATTTTCAAAAAAGTTGGAATTTAAGAAAATGTTCCCGTTTTTGAATTTTCTGTTCAAAATTTTAAGAAATGTATTTGTTCCAAAAAAAAGTTTATAAATGATTAAAAAATACGGGTTTGGAATTTGTGTTCAAATATTTCATCAACTGTTGGGATTTTTTTAACAATTTTGGAAAATTGTTCAAGTTTGTACAATCTTCATACAAAATTTGACCAACATTGTTTGACAAATTTTATGAAATGGTTATGACAGAAGAAAAAAATTTATGTTGATTGATAATGTTGGAAATTGCAAATAACAAAAGAATTCAAATTAGGAAAACAATAATCTCACGGATGCGAATTAGTGAGACATACTCCTCCCAAATGTTGTTTTTTGGACTATGGATAAATGACCCCAACTTCTGACCCTTTTTCACCGAGAAAACTCCAAAAATGCAAAACTTGTCGAAAATACAAAAAAAATGGCATCATGTCCTGAATTTGTCATAGAAACAGGTGGCAAAAAATTGGGGCTGTTTGACAGATGTTGAAAAACTACGTGCTTCCAAACACACCCTTGTAGCCCATACGACCACCACTCGTTGAACATGATCTATTTTTGGACATGTTTGAAATGAACCCAACTTTTGCAAGCAGGGGGGCATATCATGGTAGGTATCTATGCCTGGTTTGAATGTCTTTCGACACCGTATGCAAATTGCGACACATCCGACCATTTATCGGTATTTTTTAACTGAGAAAGCGCCAGAAAATCCAAAGCTTATTGAAAACCCAAACAACATGGTGCCTTGAATTGGTAATACAACACCATGGAAAAAATTGGGGTCATTTGACGGATGTCAACAAAAGTAGTCTCACAGGACCTTTCTACCTACTCGAACACCCTCCGTTGAACATGGTCCATTTTTGACATGCATGGAAGGACCCCCAAATTTTGGAACCAGGTTGGCATGCCAATGGTAGGACTCCGTGCTTGTTTTGAACGAATTCCGACATCGTATGCACATTGCGTCACGTACGGTCATTTATCGGTCCTTTTTGACTGAGGAAACTCTAGATGAAAACCCAAACAACTTGACATGATGCCTTGAATTGGTCATAAATGACCATGAAAAAAATAGGGTCATTTGATGGATGTCAAAAAAACGTAGTCTCAGACGAACCCTTCTGCCTACCCGAACACCCTCCGTTAATATGATCAATTTTTGAACATGTATAAAATGACCCCAACTTTTGGCACCATATGGGCATCCCAATGGTAGGCATCCATGCCTGTTTTGAACGAATTCAAACACCGTATGCATGTTGCGCCATGTCCGGTCATTTATCGGTTTTTTTTCACTAATAAAACTCCAGAAAATGCTAAAAAATCGGAGAGCAAAACAACTTGGCATGGTGCCTTGGTATAAAATTCCATGGAAAACAAATTGGGGCCATTTGAAGGATGTAGAGAGACAACATGCTCTCAGGCAGAGCCCACATGCCTATCCGAACACCATCCATTGAACAGGGTATATTTTGTACATCTTTCAAATGACCACAACTTTTGCAAGAAGTTAGGCATGCCCATGTTTGGCATTCATGTCAGTTTTGAACAATTTTCGACCCTGTATGCAAGTTGCGACGTGTCTTTTTTTTTTGTAGTTCAAAGATCTATATTGATCAAGAGAGAGAGTTACAGTCCTTGTACAGACAAGCCTCTAGAAATCTAGGAATAAAATTTATCCAGACACAACGCTTTCTATGAGGATTAGCTTGCCTTGCACATAGATGTGCAAGCTCATTAGCCTTTCTAGGAACACAAGACAAAACAAAAAACTGAAAACTCTCTGAAAGCTCTTTAGTTTCCTGAAGCACAACAGCAATTTCTGAACGCCCAAAATTATTGGTATTCCAGAGCTTCGTAATAGCCAAAGCATCAGTTTCAACGATGATGTTCCGGAGACCCATATTACCTGCAAGTCGGACTCCATCTCTAATAGCCAACGCCTCCATAACAAAAGAATTGGCTGCATGTTCATACCATAGTGCATGGGCACGAACGAGTTTACCTTCATGATCGCGCACACCTACCCCTGTACTTCCTTGGAGACAATCAGCCAAAAAACTTGCGTCCACATTCAGCTTAATGCAATTAATTTCCCGGGGTCGCCATTTATCGTCAGCCTTAGTAGGCATTTTCTTTCCTTCTTTTGATGAAATTATCAAATCCATAGTCACATCAGCAGTCCATTTCACCGAGCATTGGATCGACCGCCCTTTATCTCCGTGCTTCTTTGCATTGCGCTCTGACCATACAGACCAACATCCACATAAGATGACAGCGGCATCTGTATCACTGACCATACCTCCATCAATCATATCCATCGCCCATGAGTCCGGATGCAAACGAGGAAGTTTGACACCCAACATGTTCCTTATTTGATGCCAAAACAGCTTAGCCCATGTACAATCGAACAAAGATTGAGTGATTGTTTCTTCACATCCACAATCCTCGCAGAAACTGATTTGTTCAATATGTCTTTCCTTCAGAATAGATCGGCATGGGATAAACTTCCTAATCACACGCCACCAAAAATTACGGACCTTTGGGGGTACAGGCATCTTCCAAAGCTTCTTCCAAAATGTTCTATCATCACCTGCCGAGCTAGCTGGATTATTTGTTTGCTGCCGAGCACCAAGCATTGCCCTGTAAGCTGACCGGACACTGAAATTTCCACTTCTCTCTAAATGCCATGCCCAGTTATCTTCTTCCATCCTTCCCAAAGGAATCATTTGCACAGCAGCCGCATCAATAGGAAGGAAATTATTCTGTAAAACCTCTTTATTCCAGTCTCCATTGTATGGGTCGATCAAGTCCTCGACCATATTCACGGTCGAGTTTTGAAGACGTAAAAGGGGTTTAAAGCCCAAGTTTGAAGGAATCCAGGGATCCTCCCAAACTCTAGTATTGCTACCATCACCAATACGTTTGATCAGGCCATGAGTTAGAGCTTCCCGTCCATACATAATTGCCCTCCATGTATGCGAGGCATTCTTTTTCCTTGTCGCCGTCATAAAATCAACATCATGAAAATACTTGCCTTTGATCACCCTGGCACAGAGTGAATCCTGTTGTGTGAGAAGTCGCCAACCCTGTTTAGTAAGCATTGCTTGATTGAACAACTCAAGGTCTTTAAAGCCCATACCACCCACACATTTGGGAGCAGCAATATCCTTCCATTTCTTCCAATGCATTTTGCTCGTATTTTCATTTCCTCCCCACCAAAACCTGGCAATGGCAGTTGTGATTTTTTTGCACATATTTTTGGAGAGACGGAAACAACTCATAGAATAGGTTGGAATGGCTTGAAGGACTGCCTTGATTAAAACTCCAGAAAATACAAAATTCATCGAAAACCAAAAACAATTGGTGTGGTGCTTTGAATTGGTCATGAAAGGCCGTAGAAAAAATTAGGGCCATTTAACAAATGTCGAAAAATGTACTCATAGACACACCCTTTTGCCTTACTGGAACACCCTCCACTTAACATCGTCAGTTTTTGGACATGCATAAGATGACCCCAGCTTTCGGCACTACGTGAGCATTCCCATGATAGGCATTCATGTCTGGTTTAACAGAATTCTGACACCGTATGCATGTTGTGTCATGTTAGGCCATTTATCGACATTTTTCCACGAGAAAACTTCAAAAAATGCAAAAATCGTTGGAACTCCAAACAACTTGACCTAGTACATTGAATTGGTCATACAAGGCATAGAAAATGGGTCCGCTTCACAGATAATTTTTTTAGGTCATTTCAAACATGCCAAAAAAGTACATGGCTAAAAAATTCACAAATTTGAAAAAAATTCACAGGTTTCAAAATGTATGCAAATTTGAAAATAAAGTTCATGAGAATTGGAAAAACATTCATGAGCTAAAAGTTCATGCATTTGAAAAAAAAGTTCATAGCTAAAAATTAATGAATTTGGAAAAAAGTTCACGGATCTGAAAAAGTTCACGAATTTGAAAAAAAAAGTTGGTGAAGTTTAAAAAAAAATTAGCCATTTGAACAAAAATTCATGAAATTTAAAAAAACCATGATTTTGAAAATGTTCACGAGCTAAAAGTTCATGCATTTAAAAAATTGAAATTCACAAATTTGAAAAATGTTCACAAGTTTGAAAAGGTTCACTTATTTGGAAAAAAGTTCATGAAAATTGAAAAGAGTTCAGGAAATTTGGAAAATTTCACAAATTTTGAAAAAGAAAAGTTCACTAATGTGGAAAAAAAATATGAATTCCAGAAAAGTTCACAAGAAAGTTTGTGAATTGATAAAAATAAAATAAAAAAAGAAGTGAGAGTAAACGGAAAAGCTGAAGAAAAACCGGGCAAACAGAAAAAATGATAATAAAAACCAGACCGAGGGTGCGCTGCTTTTTATCGTAATGTTACCATACAAGAAGCGAAAAAAGATGGAAGTGGGCATAGCTAGTATGCCTTTGTTGGTTAGTTTTGCCTGAACTAAACGTACTTGTCTGCAGTTGGAGTCCCACTATCCTCACTTCTTTTTCGAGATTTAAAAGAACGAAAAAAGAGTAAGTGGGGCGAGCCCATGTAGGAAGGCCTTGTGCGCCTGGCGGAAATGAAATGGTCCGGCCCAGTCTGGCGGTCTATGCGCCGTCTATTTGACGCTACTCCGTGAAAATATGGCACATATATGTTCTGACGGATGACCCACCGCACATACGAAAGATGATACGATATGTCAAAGGTCTATACTGCCGTTTACACTTAGTGACAGGGGTTGTACCGAAGCGGGACCCTTTTAATGACTGAAAACAAGCTAAAAAAAACTGAACTTTGTTTGAGGCTTTTGCTTTGGATGGATGATGTATGTTGGCATATTGTTTGGGCGGCTGATGGATGCCCGCATATCTCTATCCGATCTACATAGGCGGCCCCACCCTAGTCATCGCAAATGGCGAAAAATGACATTGGAGGTCGTATCAAGCTCTGAAGAAAAAGAAAAACTAAGGACAAAATCTCGTTGGACCAGAGACGCCAAATCAACAAAACACGCGAGCTCATAGGCTCACCACCGGTAGATGCAGCTATGTCACCGTTTGTGGAGTAAGAATTGGATTCACTTTTATTCAAGTTCCTGTAGCCACCACTTGTACCACTGAAAAGATCATGCGTTGTCACCACCACCGACGGTTCAAGGCTCAGTGCCAAATGCACTTGAGGTGTTGGGGCACAACTTTGCTCAAAAAGTAGAGCTTTGTATGCTGACCAAAATCAAGGGATTCGGGGCTGATCGCAAAAAAAAAATATCTGAACAGAAAATAGATCCATCCATCTACCCAGGTCAAAAACACACACTCAACATTTCATTTACCTACCGTTAATTTGACAAAAGTAACGCGGATAAAAGAACCAGACGCGAAATGGTGCCAAAATGAAACATCATCAAGTGGCTTTCATCAATATGGTTTTGCTTATTCATACGGGAATGCGGCGGAGTAAGATATAGCGCACACACGCACGCACGCATCATAGCTTCCGATCCACGCATGGCTTTCTCTTCCTGACCACAACACGCTCAGAGGAACCAACTTCTTCTTCCTAGGTCAAGTGGCATCAGCGTCTGCAGATAGATGAAACAGCATGAGCTTTCCATATGAACAGGGCACCAATAGGAGTATATACAAGCCTACCAAGTACCACATAACAAGCATCAAATATACCAATTGCTGCATGTGATGCATCAAGTTGACACTGGGTATTTGCGAGGTGACTATCTCATTGCCCAGTAAGTGAATTACATGAAAAAAAAGAACATGCTAATCAGGGAACAATACTTCAAAATATCTAGGAGTACTTCACAACCACCAAGCCACAAGCTCAAATTTCTCTATGCGCATATGTAAGCAACCTAGAGTTCATACAACAACATAAGCACTACGCTGACTGATTCATTCAAGAAGGAAACAAGGCCATGGGCTCATGGAAGATGCAAGAGCTGGGGAGCTTGATAAAGCAGATGCAGAGGAGATGATACAACATAATAAACTGAGTAAATACATCCTGACCTGGGAAGTAAAAGTAAAAGCTTAGTGGTGTATCCATGTATACAACCTTTTTGTTGTTTTATCTTTTACGTCTTGCTGTCTATAAGGCTATAAGCATAAAGTTACCTATCCAGATCAGCTGGGAGTAATAATACAATAATTTCCTTATCCTTCCTGTTTAGCTCATCGACAGCAGAGAATCGACAAACAACCCCAAATCAATATTTCCACTAAATTCATACGTGGAGCTACGAGACCTACTATATATGTTCTATACAAGTGATTTATGGAGTAAGTTCATTGTAATCACTTGAAAATAAACTGCCAGAACTGCTGTTTTGACTTTTGAGCAGAAACATGGGGCTGCTGTAATTTGATGATTTATACGCATACGGAAGTGACATATAAAAAGAAAGAAACTGGAAATAATATAATGATGTGAACAAGTTGACCACTCATATAACTGAAATTTCAAGGCCAAGGACAACTCTGGACCACTAGAATATTGGCAACAAAAAGGCTTATTTTTTATTTGGACGATAGTCTCAAAATGGTGATACTATGTTCACAAGATAAGAATTAGATATTATTAGCTTTTCCGAGTTTAATGAGCTTCCAATTGCACAGGCAATAGATTGTCACCTAAATACCACAACAATATTTAACAGTATACTGCTGCATCTGCAAAGAGCATTGCTTGCACGAAAAAAGCAGAGTGGAAAAGCAAATTATCATCACATATAAATACCTGAATCATATTATTTTGCAAGTAAGCGGATAACATATCCACCACTTCATATAGTTGGTGCACACAATGATGGTGGGAAACCAGCATATAGTTCACCACTATCGGAGCCATGGGAGCCTTCGCCGAAGAACTCTACCTGCAATGTCTTGATGTCCACTGAAAAAAAACCTGGATTCTCTTGTAAAGATGGGGTGTACTGTGCGTGTATGAGCGCGTATCCCCCGGCTACACCAAACAGAAAAACATCATACTTTTCCAGCAACGGGATGACCTTCTCTGAGTGCCACTGGTTATTTCTCAGAACGGAATACTCGAGCCGGTATGGGCCATCATGGTTGTGCCCGTCGTTGATTACAAGGAGCAGCCCAAGCATTCCTTGTGCTGCCTCGACAACAACATAGTCGTCACACTGACACTGCAGTGGTTCAGGTTGGAGGCTGACAGTAGAGAACTCCATGGAGTGTGTGTCAAGCAGAAGCAAGTCGTTGAGGACACCTGGATGCCAACAGAAGCATCGGCCGACGAATTGACGTCTTATCATCCCATCCTTATATGGGTCAAATGTCCCAGGAACACTCCTGCATTGGTCAAATGTAAGAGCATGCCATTGCCCATCCACAGAGGAGAAGACGAGGAGCAGCATATTCCTTGTGCACCGCACCAAGAACATGACCCTGAATGATAAAGAGTCCTCCTCATCATCACCGGGAGCAAGGAAAGTGTCCAAATCGAGGAAGTCCTCCGGTTCAGGGAGCAGTGCCGTCAGGTCGCCGGGGACGGCGGGCAGCAGGATGTAGCGGCGGAACACGGGATCGCACACAGCGAGCTCCCTGGCCAAAAAAAGTTGGAGGTAGTCAAAGTCGCGCGTCCTCTCCTCTGGGGCGCCGCCGAGGAGGAGGCGTCCGTCGAAGAGATCAATCGCGCTCCAGGTACGGCCGGCGGTGGAGGGGAGGAAGGAGGAGTAGGAGAAGTCGAAGCCGGCAAAAGTGCGGGCGGCGGCGGCGGAGGGGTGCGGAGGCTGGGCTGGGAAGAAGGCATTGTCGTGGACTTCGAGCACGCCGATGATAGGGGGCGGGTGGAGGGTGCGGTAGCGGCGGAGGAAGGCGTGGCCGGTGATGAGACGGCGGAAGGAGGCGCGCGCCAGGGAGGCGCGGGCTAAGTCGGCAGCAGTGGGGAGAAGGAGGAAGATCTCCTCGAGGAGCTCGTCGTGGGTTCGAAGGATCGGCGGCTCCGGCGGTGGCGCCGCCATCGGGATGGCCGGCGGAGGAATTGGGGGATCTACCAAATTGACATTTTTTCCCCCTTTCCGATTCACTCACAGGCAAATGGACATCTCTTCTTCTACGGCTTCTTCGATGGGCTTTCTAAGGATTGGGCCTTTTTTGTTTCTTTTGGGGCCTGATGAGCAACCTACTGCCAATTTTGAAAAAATAAAATACTCTTACATTTATTTACAGCTGGAGTAATGTTTTAGTCGCCCTAAAATATTTATGTTAGTCTAACGGTTACTCGTTTCCAAGGATTACCATTTTGAGTTTACATCTTGGCAAGGAGCATAGCTTTCGTTGTTAATAGTACATCTATATCTATATACTTACTTTAAAAAAAAAAGAAGGATATACCCCCCGCCTCTGTATTTGGATGATGCATGTAGCCATCTATCTATCTATCTATCTATCTATCTATCTATACCTCTATACCTATACTAATTAGGCACTTCCTAGAAATTTCCACGTTAATTAGTAATTACCGGCCCTTTATCTGGTGGGACCGAGTTATAACGGTGCAGATTTAACCATACGATCCTTGCAATCTAGGAAAAAACCAAAATAAAGTTACAGTAAGAAAAACCAATCAAGGCAACTTGCAGTCTAAGAAAAAACCAACATAGCGCTGCTATAAAAGACCAATCTAGGCAACGTGTAAAAAAGATCTATCTACCGTGCTCCAGGACCGATCAGGACCAATCCTTCTCAAAAGAACCTTCATGCAATATTTCTCTCCGTATGCCTACTCCTTCCAATCCCCTTCCTCCCCCCGATGTATTCTCCTTTTTCCTCAAAGAGGACATGAAGTTGACACCATGTAGATGAAGTTGACTCCTCTCGATGAAGTGCTCCCTCATGACCTGCTCCACTGGAACTATCTCGGCTGCATATCCAAGGAGGCGTGGAGCTAGCTAGCACGTTTGCGAGAAGAAAGATTCCTTTCCGTGCACTATAGGTCAAACTTGAGTCAGAGATGACATGAAATCTACTCCCAGGTATGGTTTGAATCAACTAACTAATAGTATTGTGTATTGTATAGTTTTGATTTTAGTTGTTGTCGTACGTCGCAGATCGTTCCCAGCCTTGCCGTCTATTTCCTCCATAGTAAGATGGCACAAAAATCTACTCTCAGGTGAGCACACCGGTATGGTTTGAATCAACAAATTAATACTATGTATTAGTTTAGGTTTGATTTTAGTTGATGTTGTCACGGATCGTTGCCGGCCTTGCCGTCTATTTCGTCCATGGTAAATCAGGCCTTGGTTGATTCAAGCCATACAATGTGCGCACCTGAGAGTAGATTTCGTGCCAGCTCCGACCCAAGTTTGACCCAGAGTGCACAACGAGACCTCCAGCTGCTCCTGTCTAGGGACTACATCAACGAACGAAGAATGCGCTGAGTACTGCATCTCCATGCATGTAAGTGCCGCCATGCATCATCCTTTCGCGGCCACGGGGATTATCAGCCGCTAGATTCCGGACCACAGTAGCTACTACTTGATGGTTCATGGATATACTCAATGGAACATATCTGCCGCATCTATCTGGAAATCTCAAACATCATCTTGCGAGGCTGCGAGGTCAAGATTATGTATTGTTTAGGCCATTGACGTTGCCACGTACACTGTCCAGGAGCCAAGGACATCGGTTATATTTACAAGTGATTGGGGTCGCCTTTCAACCCGGACGCCTGAACTCACATGATACAACTGATCCAGGATGGCATTCACATGACACCCTTGATTACGCAGATGTTGATTATCCTAATGACGTTGTTTATACCCAAGGAGACTAGGAAATTTCGAATACCTAGCGGAGTTCAAGATGAACATGGATGTCTTCATCAACAAAACCGGAAGTAGTGGCACCGCTGTAATGAGGTCAGACATGCCGTGTTAGGACTAGGGATTATATGATATCTACATCGATGGAAAACGCGTGACATGGAAACGAGGTATTAAAAATTATGTTTTTCCCTTAATCTGCAAAAGGATGAGTTGGCCATTCTTTCTTGAGCTTTTTTATGGTTAAGTGCAGAGGAAGAAGAAATGAGAATGAACGTTATAGCCACATGCTAAGTTGGTGGAGCATGGTCCTCGGACATACCAGGCTAATTGATGTTCAAGAGTACGTAGGCAAATGCCTTGACGAAAGTAAACAACACGGCAACAAGGTGATTGGATTTTCCATACCTTGGCATAGTCATTTACGTTTTCCAAATAAGTTACCAACGACATGTGAAAAAGAAGGGCAAAACTTTTGTTTTCTACGGACACACGTTTTTCATGCTTTATTGTTCCTTTTCCTTGGGCGTCAATGAGTGATAGCAGTGAGCATTAAGACCAGATTTATTTAAATCTAACAGGCAACACGTTCCAGATTGTAGCATTATTAATTTTGTGCTAAAAAACGAAATTTCCCAAGTATATCATTCGGTCGTGTCACTAACATACTGTCAATGGTGAGCCCATTCTGCTGCCAGTTGGCAGCAGATTAAAGGCCTTCCATAACCACCTTAGCTTACACATCCTCCCGCAGTTATGGTGCACCCTGATCCAAGTTTCCTCTAGGGTATTATATTTTTGATTTTTTAATAAAAGTTGTCTATTTTCTCCGTGATCTTAATTCTTATTTTGAAGGGAGAGAGAAGAAAGGATGATGACCCAGAGCATCCAATGGCCAACAAAACAGTATTCGGAAAGCACAATAGTAGGTACTCTGCTCAAGGTACAAGTATGATTAAACAACACTATCGTTTATTTGTTTTTCTACATAAATAAAATCATGATTATTCCCTCAAATTTGAACCACAGAAGATGATTCAGATTTCTAACCCGATCATGAATATGTGATTATTTTAGTATAGCACTTTCATAAAATTAATAAAAGCGCCCTTTCCTGATAAATGCATTGAGAAATTGTATTTAAGTAATCTTTTAGAGACATAATCTTCAAAATGTGTACATACATGTACTTCAATAGTACGACATAAAGGAATTTATGTAGTTGCTCTCTAATTTCTAGATGAAAGATCAAAAACAGATTAAACAATATATTGTAAGGCAAGTGAGACCTCAACAAAATATTTCGATAGTGTGCTACAACATGACATCTGCATCAATTGTACAGTTAATTTTTTATGCAATATGGAAATATTTACATGTTTCAAATTAACAAGCATTTATACATATTTAATTGTTATATATATGGATCCCAAAGATAGGCCATGCCTCAAATAACAATGTGAGAATACATATGAATTCCAATGGTACATGTAGCAATCCCACACAGATTCTAGCAATTCAATTGGCATAGATGAAGCAATAACATCCAGTGAGTTACGCTTAAAAAATTAGAACACAACAAAAAGATAATAATACAAAAAACATATTTACAATGCCTACATATATCGTCCAATCAAGGTAACTATTGAAGGAAATATTCCATACAAAATCAAAGAGTATAACTATATTCTTCAAAGACATATTTATGAAGTTTTTTGCTATTTATCACTAGCCCGTGCGAATGCACGGGTAGACGTCTAGTTTTATTAATTTTTCACAAAGACCATACAAAGTAATCCATTAGTAAGACTGAAGCCACCATCTAGACACCACTTGTTGCTACTCCTACCCCCTTGATGAAGGAGTGTCGAATGTCCAAGGCAAATTAAACATACATCGCACCTAAGTCTAACATCTAAAGCTGGATGCCCCAGCTCAGCCACAAATTGGGTCACACACCGGACCGACACACTCTCAGAGGCTGCCGCCGCCATCTTCCACCGGTCCATCTCTAGAGCAGGAACTGACGCATCAACCTTGTCTGGCCTGCCGTCGACGCCACCACAATGCCAGACAACGCCACCATACTGCACGTATCCATCCACACGCGTCCGTCACCGAACCTCCGCCGTGCCATGCCGCCTGGATCCGTCGTCGGCCTTGTGGTAGATGTAACACCGCTCCTCCTCTTGTCCCCTCCAGCCAACACGTGCTCCAAAACGATGCCCCCATGAGAGACAATGGCATCGAAGGTGCCATCATCGTCCGATCCGGTAGACCCAGATCTAGGGTTTCCCTAGAGCATCACGAGTGGGGTGCCACGACCTGCAACAACGATGCCTCGAGAAGAGAACGACGTCACAAATGCCACCATCGTCCGCCATGACCGTAGTCGGCGTGATTTTTACCGGAAGTAGCGCCTCCCGATCTCGCAGCTAATTGGAACCTTACGAAAGCCGCCGTTGGCACGCCGGCAGGGAGCCTCCAGCCGCCCCTCACCGGTCCCTCCACGCGCCACCGGTTGGGAACACCCACGCCGGGGCGGACCTGGACGGGACGCGAGATCCGCGACTTCCGTTGCCACCCATCTCCAAGCACAGACTCCACCGAGGGGAAGAGCACCATGCCGGCCATGGATCTGGCCGCCGCTGCACAGGCAAGCACTACTAGGGAAAACCCTAGCAGTAGCGTGGGTTTAATGACTATCAATAGCGTAGGGAACTGCGCTACTAGTAAGGCTCTACAGCTAAAGGTTAGCAGTAGCGTGGGTTAGACCACGCTACTGCTATATCGACTTAGTAGTAGCGCTTTCTACAATGAGCGCTACTGGTAATTAGTAGTAGCGCTTCTCCTAGCACGCGCTACTACTATTATTCCGTATTTTACTTCTTTTTTATTTCATGTTGTATTCATACACCTTTATACAAGTATTCATACCACAGGAATTTAGAAATTGTTTTTACATCATAATGAGTTATTACATCACTGAGAGAAAGAACCGTGGACTGGTTTCAAGTGGATGGACATCCACTTGAAACTAATCCGTGGTTCTTTCGCCCAATGATATAATAAATATCATCATCATCATATCATTAACAACTTATCATCATAATACATCATTGTCATATAACACCTCCTCATGATCATCGTTTTCATCAATGAGACATCACATAGCAAGTTGGTCACTAGTCATAATC